TTATGAAAATAAATTAAACTAAATGATATTCGATTGGCGAGCAATGAGTAAAAATTTTATTAATATGCATGCATTTACCCAAACAGGGTGGGTCAGATGGGGCGTTACGACGTAACTTTACGGGCATTTTTGAGAATAAGCAGTGTCTATAGCTATTTATACGAGTAGATATTTTTTGCTGACACTTTTAGAATGAGACAGGCATGAGGTATGAACTGTTGTTTCTAATGAATCTAAAGCTCATCTTTTGAGAAAAATGAGAAGATTTTTTAAACCCTCACATAAGTGCGAAATGTTCACAATATTCGTGGTTATTCGCTTGAATTTTGCAGTCAGTGTGACTCACCTTGCCCTGCCTAAGGACTAGTAGTTGCAAAAAGAAGTAACGGCATTATGTACGTATGTATATTTACATACATGTATGACTTATGGAATACATGTTTAACGAAAACTACAAAACTATTTATTACATAAGTTTTTTTTTTTTTTGAAAAATAGAGGGGGCCAAGCCAGAGGTTGCCAGAATGAAAGAAAACTTTTGCTGCAACTACCAAATATTAAGTTGAATAATAAAATTTCAAAAAAAAGTAAAACAATAACAGTAACGGAAATGGGTAAATAAAGCGGAAAGACCGCCGACACAAACACAAAAACAAATACGAAATAACGGTATGACGAAATGACGAAATGAGGCAGAAAAAAATTAATAAAATGCAGCAAATTACAACGTGAACAGAACAGACTGAGGCAATTTTATTATTTTTACGGTAATGTATTTGCATTTAAATCAGAGCGCGGCCTTCCGATCTCCTCAAACGCCCCGCCACCTGCCAATTGCTGCTTGCCACGGCGCACTTACCAACTTCTCCATGCGTTTTTCGCTCAGCCTCTATCACACCTGTTTAAATGTTGCAAATTGTGGCGCACACATATACACCCCGACACCGTGGCAAGTGCAGTTGCATTGGCCGCGTCGCGTCTGCAGTGGAATATATTAAAAGCAATAACAATCGCAAAGGTGCAAAAACTGAAATTCGCTGGCAACCACATTTTCAACCGCAAAGTGTCACATAATTTTGTCCGAAAAGCACTGTCAGGCACTGCCCGGAGTCACTCAACCCCGACCAAGGCACCCAGTGGGCACCATTGTTGCTCTGTGCGGCATATGTGGCACACTTTGTGCCGAAAAACTTGTGGCTCATAAAGTGTCGGTGAAAATGTGGAGGTCCCAAGTGCATGTGTCAAATATAGAATAAGTTTTCAAATTTAAACTGGATGCAAAACTAAATTTCCTGCAAACATACGGAAGATACTTTCAGATTTCGAAATTGACTAAGAAGCAGATAAAGTTAGGCCAGGTTTATAGTAAGCCTTCTTACAAGTGGGTATTCAGAGACAGTTGAAAACATTCTGTTAGTGATCTTTTGTTACTACCAAAGTCAGCTTGGTCAATATGCGTTCTAACCACTTTTATTTACCACTTCAGACACAAATATCAGGGAGCGCCGTGAGCCCCCAAGTGCAAATAAATTTTTATATTTCCTCTTCGAAAGGGTAAAAGACCCCATTTGGTTGTTGATACAATTTTTGGCAGGTTTTGCTGCGCGCAAACAACAACAAAGTGTTGCACTACTGAAATTCCACAATTTGTTTGACCATTGTATGCACTCCCGCGGCCGCGCTCCGTCCATTCGCTTATATGGCAGTGTCAGACAAAAATGTCAACGTGAAATTTTGCAAACAACTTCATTTCATTTCGCGATTTTCGCCAGCGATAAGCGCCAACTTGCATTGATGTTATTGCTGTTGTACGCTTTGGTGAGTTGGCAGTTCCCTTCGCTGGTGTAATGATGGCCTGGCGGGCTTACACACACACTCAGCCACGCATACACAGGGATATGGTAAAGTTAAATAGCCGACTATGTACATTTGTTGCATTTGTGTGTGTGTGTGTGTGTGTGTATGCCTTATCAGCCGCAATCGCGCAATCATCCAAAAAGCGTAAAAGTTGAACTTCGGCTGTCTCACCACCCTCAAACCCACACATGCACCTGGTTGCATGCAACACTTCGGCACTGCGGGTTCGTCATGGCGAACATTGTGCGCGTTGCATTTCAAGCTGTCGTTGTGAATGTCAGAAATTGCATTTTCGGTTGGCGCTTGTCGGCAGTCATGGCCCTCTCACCCACCGCCGCATTATAATCTGATGTTCCCCCGAGTGCACACAATAGACAAAGCAGAGTCAAGTAGCATGCTTATAGGCTGTTCAGGGCTGTCGCACACTAATGCGCGCACACACACACATATGTACAGTACAGTCAGACAACTGCTTGCCCTCGGCATTCACACCAAATCTACTCGTGCCTTCGTGTCGCTATGTGTAACTGTGTTATTGTTACTGCTGTTGTAGTCAAGTCTGCCATTCACTGGTATTGTTTGAAGTTCCGCTTCTTAGCAGTTTTCGGCGTTTGGCACGTTAAAGTCTGGTCGCTGTGGTCTTCGCCGTTTTCTTATCAGCGGCGGAAATATTCAAAAAGTGTTGTTGTAGTAATAAAAACGTTAAATTTAATAGTTCAGGAAGCCACTATAAAACTAATAGTACATACTTGTACGAAAAACTGCGCTGCGGCAACAGCAACAACAATAAAGCCGCGAATTTATATTTTAATTTTTGCTGTTCCTTCTTTTTGGAGCTTCAACAAAATTTTTGTTTGGTGGCAAGAAACTTTCACAAATCGAAAGCCACAATTTATAGCTGTGAATGCGAATAACAAGGAAGCCTTAAAACTAACAAAATTACTTGTGCTGGAAGGTGGAGGAGTGAACCACTTTATGTTTATGTCAAAACAGGTCGCTTCAAATTTTCATGTCCTCAGCAAGAGTGAAGCCTCGAACTATATGAAAGAATAATCTGAACAGACAACTGCCAAGCTAATCTTAACAAAAATTTTGTAATGAGATGTGAATTTCCAGTCTCACTTAACCATCGACTTTGCTGACTTCTAGGTGCTAGCCAAAGACCCTTAGCTACAAAAGTACTGTCATCTAGTCTCGTATAATGATTGTTGACTTTGATGACGAAAATAACTCATTATTATATAAGGTATTTGTGGTGTATTTTGGAGATCTTTTAGCTAGAAATATAAATTATAGTAACCGTGATTACAGTACTGGGTAATACCCAGCTAAATTTGTCATAGAACCCCTGCTTTTGGTTTCCCAGGTTTTTGTTCCTAACTATGGTGCAGATGTGGTTATTAACCTAAAAGTTTATATATCTTCTTCTCAGACAAATAGGCATTAAACAGAACTAAATCATAGCCAAGAACACACTTCATCGAGAAAATATATATTTCGTGTGGATGAACGGTACTCCGTACGTCAGTGCTTACTTCAATCTATGGTTGAAACCGTTTGCTTGTTTTAGTTTGATTACATCGATTTATGTGAAATGTTGGACGGGCTGTGCTGCGACAACTGACATTTCAACCCAAACTTCCACCGTCTCGAGTCGCAAGTGCGGAAGAGCCCACCTACATTCGGGTGCATATGTGTGTGTGTGAGTGTGGTATGACGTATGAATGCGTTTTCTATTTGCATGAAATTTTGGTTTCGTTGCGCTTTGTTGGCGAAATGGCAGGTCGTTTGGCGGTTGGGCTCGATTGTTTATTTGTTCGTGCATTCGGTAAATTGTCTACGGAACACCGATTTATTTGCATTGATATTTGCGTACGTGTTTATATTGCAATTGTCTGCATATCACGCTACAGTTATGTTTACAGTTATTCAAGTACGACCTTACACACACACACACATGCGAACATCTTTTATGCCATAATTATTCAAACAACAACCGTAAACTATATAAGCACACATTCGCGCACACGTACACGCATTTGCACAATTATTGCAACGGTGTGGCAACTTTATGTAAACAATGAAAAGTGAGCGAAAAATGCAGAAACGACGGGAAAAGCTGGAAACACAAGGCACACACACACACACATACCCATGGATTCCGCTATACACACGTGTGTGGTTTGGTATTTGTGTAAGCGTGTTTTTTTCACGCTCAAATGAAGTTGTTTGTAAACAATTCGCCGCCTCCAGACCTCCAGACAACCCACAAGCCACACACCCAATTAAACCTTCCGCTCATTGGCGGCGACGCACGAATGCACCTGCGTCGCTACGTCGCTGCGTTGTTAGAATAAATTGTTGCAAATTAATGCGAGATTTCATTTTCATCGGTGTTTTGCCTCGGCGTTTTTCACCGTTATTAGCGCCGTTGTCGCAATGTCACTGCCGCAAGTCCTTTTTCAATGTCAAGGGTCAGTGCCAAAGGGATAAATGCGCAGCACCACCGTTTTACTGTTTTATTAGCATAACTTAGTGACACAGGAAAACATTTACTTGTATATTGTCTTTGTCTGGGATCAAAAACGCAAAAATTATCGGTCGGCGGTTACCTACTCTTCAAGGGTAGGAGTTCTTAAAATAATTTAATTTATATATGCATATGGTCTTAAATTTGTCAGGTTTAAAACTGTGCATATCTACAATGGAGTACATTGAAAAATACTTCGGAAATCTTTTACGATGCCATCGCGGAAAACAGTTTCGATTTTATAAATTCAAGCATTTAAGTTTGCATTTCATATATTTTCTTCTCAATGCGTCAGGAATTCGAATCGACCTTGGAAAAGCGTTTGATTAAAAAAATTTTAGCTCTAAACAACTTAAAACTGTTAAATTTTGAAAAATGCCAATTATAGGCGTAACTTTTGAAAGAAGAATGCTTTTGTGAACGTGGAGTCTGATGAAAGTAACAATAATGAAATATCATGGTATATCCAGTATATCAACGGTCAAAGGCATACTTGCAATATTGCAAGTCGCTGTCAATTAGCTAACATTTTTAACAGTGTGAGGGGAATTTAGAATCTTTGAACACAGATATTCAACAGCAAATGCATTAAAGCTTAAATGAAGAATGGTTTGTTCCATAACCGTTGAAGATGTGTTACATTTTATGCCTTGAGAGTTCTAGGTGTAGTTAAAAATAAAAAAGTTACTTGAGAAATATTATATCAAAATCAACAATCAATCAACATCAAAATTCTGAAACATTTTTCATATTCAGTTGATTTAGGCTTATTCTTCAAAATATCTAAAACAACGGCATTATATACGAGTATTTTTTACGCAACTCTGTAAATCATTGTAATTACATAAATTTTCTCTTTTTTAAAACAAGTACGTGCGTAACTCGGTAGCAATCGAAGCTCGAGTATTTAAGCCATTGCGTTTTCCACTGATTTTGTTGGAAAGCGTCGCGTGAGGGCCCGTTGCCTTGGCGATGGACGAGTATAAGCCTGTTGGCAGTCGGTCTAAAAATAACAGGCTGCCAGACAATTACTTTTACGCCTCACGGTGCAACAACATTCAATGGCGTAAATAATATTAAAATAAATGGAAAAAAGGAAGAAAATGCGAGCGAAGCAGAAACCGCAGACGGCTGTCGTTAGTCAATACTAAATTTGCAAGTATAGTTTGTCGAAAACCACTTTTGAGTGGCGAGCGTTTAAAAACACTCAAGGAAAAAATTATTCCAAATTGATTAAAGCGCTTAAGACGTGCTGTGCCTGAGCTGTTTGCTGTGAGCAACATGTTGCAATCGATTGCGGTTAAATTGATTTGTTCCAAAATTTCAGTGATCTACTTGAGAAGCGATTTTTTGGATTGCCCCTACGCAATAAATACATCTTAACGCTGAAGGCTCGAGCAGGCTCATCAACTTTCCCAGCATAGGTTTGTTCTTTTTATTTTACTTACCAATTTTTGATTTTTTTGGTGGTGTAGGTCGGGCAAAGCAACTCTTTCACTCAATATTTGACTGTCAAACATGAACGACTCTCTTCAGTTCGAACGGACTGGTTGCAGGGGCAAAACGAGTACAATTTCTAAAATTAAGTTTTCCCATTCGAAATGTAACGGTAAGTGGTTAAGTGGGGGAAAATATATGTCCATGTAATTAAGAATTATGTTTGAGTAAATCAAATTATTGAAATTATTTTGTTTAGTTAAATATTTAAAAAGTAACAGTAATATTTATATTAAAACTTAAAGGCTAAATCTACAGGAATACGTTCAGATTTTATAGCTTCAGAAGTACAAGACACAGGACTGAAAATACCTCTTTCTACAGGGAACAGTTCGCGAGAGTAGCTTACGGTCTAGCAAGAACATCAACCTTGCAATTATACGTAATATAATATATATTTCAGTTAAAATTTGCGCTTATTTCTCTACTAGAAGTTTGACAAAGCCTCTCATATTGTGATGCATTAACCAAGGGAAAGAAGAAATCATGCCAGTAGAATAGAAAATAAAGAAAACTAATTATTCTTATTATAATTATCCCAAAGGAGTAGAGAGCATTGATTCTATGAACGCTTCGCACTAAAGGATTTTCGAGGAACTGAACGTGCCTCACTTACTTTCATTATCGCGCGAATTAAGCGCTAAATTTCTCTTATCGATAAACGTTATGTGTTCAAGCATACTTACAACAACATTAACCAAATAAAAAAAGCCACTAAAAAGCAATGATAAAAACAGAAAAGCGTTTCCGCACAGCGATATAAAAAACAAAAGCAGTCACTTTGCAAATAAAGGACTCTCCTGACCGAGCCACAGAAAGAGTAAAGCGCCAGCAGAGCAACGGCTTTTCATGTTTGAAATTGCTTTCACGTGCAAGCGAAGGATTTGCGTGTGGACAAAATGAAAAAAAAAAACGATTAAAACACGGCTAAACAGAGCGGCAAGACGACAGAATCGAAAAAAATGCCTTTGGGACTCCTTCTTTATCACCGCCAATGCCAATCCGAAAGTAGGGAACGCGATGAACATTAAAGATGCAGCGAGGTGACGTACGAATGCAACGTGAGGGAAAATAGTCAAGTGTATATGTGTGTGTGCGTGTAACGGTGTGCGTGCTGAAGTAAAGCCGCAGCATTATTGTCTATAAGAACACACAGGCAACTGTGAATGCTATGTTAGTAATGATAATGAAGTCGACTGCTTTGATTGGGACGTAAAGTGACGTAGGAAGAAAGCACGATGTTGTCACTGCCGGCGCTGAAGGCTACTTAAGTTGCTTTCTGAAAGAATTACTATAAAAAGTGCTTTGAATGCGTTCTTATACATTGAAAAAAAGTTATGAGCCGAGAAATGTGTATCGGCACTATTTTTATACGTGAAATAATGGTAAATAAACTGCTTTTTCTGAGATAACCCGAAAAAAGAGTAATTATTCGCGAAATGATGATTTATAAAATTTTTTGATATTTTTTTACAAGAGAAAGACGTTATTAGAAGAAGAAGATTTTTGCCTTCATTGCGTATCACGACTCACCCAGCATATTGAAACCATTTTTGCAGGGTACAAAACTCGGAAGATAGTTATACCCTCCTATTGTTCAGACTGAGGATTTTCGCAAACCTCACTTCCAACATTTCGCTTCTACTGAAACTCTTACTTAAAATAAGTAGAGTAAGAGAGAGAGAGAGTAAGCACTTTATCTGATTCTTTACTTGAAGTATACCACAAGACCAGCGTTTAACTCAAAGCGCTAAATTAGATATTTTTTGTTATTTTATTACTTTTAATCTTTCTTCGAGCAATTCTTAGCAAGTTTATATATTCTTCTAAGTTTGATTTAAATAATAATGAGTTTAATTAAGTAGTTTAAGCAGATAAAAAATCCTCGGACATATTTATTTGAATGCTCTAAGTAAAAGGCAAAAGTTAAAATTCTCAGAAGGTGCCATCACTAGTCACTTCTTATGCTGCGTATACTTTCACATACATATATACATAGAAATGCAATCTTTGCTTTAAAGAGTTGCTCATTTGAGTTCCTGACTCCAAAAAACGCTCAAACTTGTTGTGTTGCCAAATCGAACAAACTCGTGGAAGCAATTCAAGAGAGAGGCGACTAATCCATATGCTAACATTTTTAATGCCTTGATTTTTCTAGTGCTGGGCGCAAGCATTATTTTCCACTAAGTTTATACTTTTATAAAAGCGCAATTGCCGAGCATGCAACATCAAACCAGAAATATTGGAAGGCTTGCAACCGACACGAAAATTTGACACGACTTTACTTCGCTTACACGACTCCAATAAGCGCTCAAATGCAAAGCTAACCGAGCTGTATTCGTTCCGACGCTCCTATTTCTGCTCGTGTGCTCGTTTCTTAACGAAAAGGGTGCATAGTTTAAATGTAGTTTAAAATGTGTGTCAAATAATTTAAAAAAAAAATCCTTTTTGAAACAGATAGTGTCATTACCGATTATAAGATATTTGACCGAAAGGAAATAGTAGATAAAAATTGGTTATAGAAATTCGAGGGTCTATTATTGTATATATATAATATGTATATATGTGAACATCTTGAAGGTCAAATGAGAACTTTTTAATTTTTAGTTTTAATCACTCAAACTCACTTATGCGTTCGATGCCAATTATTTATTAATATAACTGTAAGAAGCTTCAAAGTCCTCATTACATCTCATTGAGTGCGCTGGGTGCAAACGTCTGGTAACTCTAGCCCTATTTGCCAATTCTCTTTTAGCTTACCCTCTGTGCTGATTGGTCTCGTTACTTCCACTTCGTTTAAGGTCTGCGCGTTCACACCACACGAAACACCAAATCACCTCGGCGTACGTTTGGACTGCGACGCGTTCGTATGTGGGTGACTAACGTCAAGGATACAAAGCCGAAAGTTACACATATTGCGTTGTTGTAGTCAACGCTGAAGAGAGCGAGCAAATGGTTGTGGGTGCGCGTCAATGTAAGTCAACGCGATGATGAGCTTCATACGGGATAGCCGATTAGTGTTGGTGTGTGTGCGCTATCGTGCTATCCGATTTGCATTTGTCATTCGTTTTTGCGTTCGGTCGACAAAACAAGGACTGTTCCTGTTTTTTGGCAGCACTTCGGCTGGCAGTGATATGGTTTAGCGCTTCGGGATTGCACGTTCGGGTGAATCTTTTGTGCGGGTATGTGTGTGTGTGTGCGTTCTTTTGAGTTTGCTGCTGCTGTCTTTGCACGCATTTCAGTTTGTGACTGCTCATTTTTGTTGTTGCTTGTGTTCCGGGCGTTTGATGTTTGCATTAACCTTCCGCTAGCTGCTGCCGCAACAGTGGCGCGGCTGCTTCTCTTTTATGCGCTATGCATTTACATTTTATTCTTACTTCTAGCTGCTCTCATTTTCACATTTGGCGTTCTGGCCGTTGCCACCACCTTCACACACAGCTACTGCGCGCACACTTCACTGGCTCTGCCGACGCCTCTGTCGCCATTCCTGCTGCTAGTCTGAAGTGCGCATAGAAGCGGCGCTGACACTGGAAAAGAGCAACCACTCACTGCTCAACTGAGCGAGTCACTTTTAGCGGCAGCATACAACCTGGCACTCAGAGTGGCTAGGTGCTGCACAACCGGCTGCCTTGACGACTCGTTGGCAGCGCTGCCCAGGATATGGCAGACGTTGTACGGCTACACAGCGAAGATTCCTCGACATTACGCTATCCACCGTGTTGACGAGAGGTGTGTAGCAGTGTAGGACATTCGATTGTTGCCGAGCTTGTGGGAAATTTGCTGAACCGCAGCTGTTCAGTTGCTCATGACTATTCGACTGAAGTGGCTGTCGCAACAGCAGATCGGCTCGCTTTGTGGTGGTATCTTGCAAGTAGAAGTTTAAACTCAGACGGCGAGCGACAGCAAACAAAAAAATTTATACTAAAAAATAATATGAAAAAAAGGAACAAAAGTGTGTCAAGTGCCTTAGCATACATTCAGGCGTTGTGTTATTTTTCAACTTCATACGCCTGCGATTTGTTGCTGTGCGAGATATTTCCGCTATGCTATCATAACCGTTATCAGCATCATTCGCAGCATTATCAGTGCCACTATCAACATAATCATAGCACTTAACTGAGTCATCACCTTTCAAAACATCCGATATGATCTCGAGTCTAGGCAGCGCACGGTTGACATATGTCAACATTTATTTGTCACCACAACACCCAGAAAATCGTTGGTGTACGTAAAGTCTAAAGAGCACGCACAACCACACGCACACGCGGGAAAAGGCAAAAAGTCGCATCAATGCTCTCTGATATATAGCTCAACAGTGTTATCACCATTACTCACACTGCCATCAGCCACTCGCCGCCAGCAGCAGCATCGCCATAACCACCATCACCACCACATCTCAGCGCTTCCTCATTACATTGCACAATGCTTGCATCAACATATTTGCGATTTTTCTTTCCGCCTTCAACCACATTCTCATCCATCGGCGAATTCAAAAAAACCATGCAAAAATATTCTATACCGTTGCACACACATACACACACGTGCTTACGTGCGGCATGGAATTTATTAGTGATTAGCGTGTTGCGTGTTGCGTGTTTCTTCGTGTTCAAGTGAAAAGAGAAAAAATCCCTTTCGCTCCCGCCTTCCGCACAGTGGCACTTCCGTTGTTAGTCGAGTGCTGACTCCGAACAATCTTACATACAAACCTAAAGTCTTGCTTCGTCGGTGTTTTGTTGGCGTTAAATGCTCTGTCGTGTCAAGTGAAATTAACTTTAAATGCAATTTAATTGCTACGAACTCGAAGCGCAAGTCGAAGTGGGGCATTAGTTCTTTATTGGCAGCTGCAAAAGTGTGGCAACGTGTGTGCTCCCCAAAGGATTTATGTGTTTGTGGTGACTATGTGAATCTAACGGTACAGATAAATATGTGCCCCAAGTCGGTATGGGGCGCCAAGGAACCTGCAGATGAATCATCCAGGTGAGTAAAGCATAATTTTTTTCATTAAATGGAATAAAGAGCAGGAAATTGACGATAAAAGAAGAGCGCAAAGATGATACCGTCAGGTTTATTGTCGTTTTCATAGCTTACACTTTTCAGTGGAGGGAGTTATCCTGAAATTTTCTGGTTTGAACATAATGATTAAATAAAAAACTCCATAACGTTTAGTAATTCCTTTCCATTAAATGATAACGTCTCTGCTTTGGTGGCCACAAAAGTAAAGCCAAGAAAAAAGCTACAAGCAATTTTAAAAGAACACAAAACTACCCGAATCTAATAAATAACTAACCGAATCCAACGTTAATTTCATTGCAATGCATGATGCACTTATAAAACAGGTTTGTTTTCAGCGTTTTTACCACCTCATATTTTATTGTGAATGCAAGTGATGAAATTAATGTAATTGTAAAAAAAATGTTACAAAAAGCAGCATTTTTCAAGATATCAATGCAAAGTACAATATTTTTTATTAAAGAAATTTTATGGCCTCAGGTAATTTAAATACTATGTTATGTATTACTCCAGCAAAATATACATATTTCTAAAAAAATTATAATATCTGACGTAAATTCTCGATAATCTATAGTGGCAACGTCCCGAACTTCAATATATATTTAAAGGTTATAATATTCTAAAATATTCCTAGAGCAAGTGACCAAAATGCGTTTTTAAGCCGTCTTATACATACTCATTACTTTAGGTGTAGAGCTCGAATAAAATTCGACTAATGACTACGAGGTCGTCATTCATTGACAAAATCAAATTACCCGGTACATTTTTAAAACCTTCCTTTGCAAAGGTATTAAACGATATTTGAAGGCGAAAAATGTGCAGGATTATCAATTTTTTAGACATCATATTAGCTGAGAGTAGAACAACGTACAAATTTGAAGCATACATTTAAGCGCCATAGTACAAAAGTTTAACGAGATTGAATTTGATTTAATTAAGCTTTAAATTTTGCTCTAATTTTGTGATTTTAAAAACTCAGCATGCTAAATATATATATATAATCATTAAAAAAGGTAATAACAATGTCAACTTGCAACAAAATGCAACGCGCAACGGAAATGAGTTGTTTCAACCACTGACAACCTTAAATTATGAAATTCCGCGCGCAGGCACTTCACACCTCACAACCACGCACAGCATGGCACGACATAGCACAGCCTTTTTTGTGTTGCCACCGCCAGCGCTATGCTTGCTCATTCACAAGCGCGCCACTATCAGCAAACCACGTCCATGTACTCGAACGAATTTCTCTTTTTTAACATTTCGTTTTTTAGCCGTCTTTTTGCCATAAAAATGTGATATTTAATTTAACAAGGTAATTATTCAGTCGTTTAGTGAAGTAGCGGCATGCGATGTGACGGCAGCACCGTCACCTCCCACCAAGTGTGGCGTGTAGCTCAGGCGTC